TTAGTTGATCTATGCATAGTTGTGAGTGGGGTATTAAAGTCTCCCACTATTATTGTGTTACTCTTAAATTTCCTCTTTCATACTCGTTAGCGTTTGCCTTACATATTGCGGTGCTCCTGTGTTGGGTGCATATATATTTATAATTGTTATATCTTCTTCTTGGATCCTTTGATCATTATATAGTGTCCTTCTTTGTCTCTTTTCACAGCCTTTATTTGAAAGTCTATTTTATCTGATATGAGTATTGTGACTCCTGCTTTCTTTTGTTCTCCGTTTGCATGAAATATTTTTTTCCAGCCCTTCACTTTTAGTCTGTATGTGTCTCTTGTTTTGAGGTGGGTCTCTTGTAGACAGCATATATAGGGGTCTTGTTTTTGTATCCATTCAGCCAGTCTTTGTCTTTTGGTTGGGGCATTCAACCCATTTACATTTAAGGTAATTATTGATAGGTATGGTCCCGTTGCCATTTACTTTGTTGTTTTGGGTTCACATTTATACAACCTTTCTGTGTTTCCTGTCTAGGGAAGATCCTTTAGCATTTGTTGAAGAGCTGGTTTGGTGGTGCTGAATTCTCTCAGCTTTTCCTTGTCTGTAAAGCTTTTGAATTCTCCTTCATATCTGAATGAGATCCTTGCTGGGTACAGTAATCTAGGTTGTAGGTTATTCTCTTTCATTACTTTAAGTATGTCCTGCCATTCCCTTCTGGCCTGGAGGGTTTCTATTGATAAATCAGCTGTTATCCTTATGCGAATCCCTTTGTGTGTTATTTGTTGTTTCTCCCTTGCTGCTTTTAATATTTGTTCTTTGTGTTTGATCTTTCTTAATTTGATTAATATGTGTCTTGGGGTGTTTCGCCTTGGGTTTACCCTGTTTGGGACTCTCTGGGTTTCTTGGACTTGGGTGGCTATTTCCTCCCCCATTTTAGGGAAGTTTTCAGCTGTTATCTCCTCAAGTGTTTTCTCATGGCCTTTCTTTTTGTCTTCTTCTTCTAGGACTCCTATGATTCCAATGTTGGGGTGTTTCACGTTGTCCCAGAGGTCCCTGAGGTTGTCCTCATTTCTTTTGATTCTTTTTTCTTTTTTCCTCTCTGCTTCATTTATTTCCACCGTTTTATCTTCTACCTCACTTATCCTATCTTCTGTCTCTGTTATTCTACTCTTGGTTCCCTCCAGAGTGTTTTTGATCTCATTTATTGCATTATTCATTTTTAATTGACTCTTTTTTATTTCTTCTAGATCTTTATTAAACATTTCTTGCATCTTCTCAACATTTGTCTCCAGGCTATTTATCTGTAACTCCATTTTGTTTTCAAGATTTTGGATCATTTTTATTATCATTATTCTAAATTCTTTTTCAGGTAGATTCCCTATCTACTCCTCTTTTGTTTGACTTGGTGGGCATTTTTCATGTTCCTTTACCTGTTGGGTATTTCTCTGCCTTTTCATCTTGTTTAGATTACTGTGTCTGGAGTGGGCTTTCTGTATTCTGGAGGTCTGTGGTTCCTTTTTATTGTGGAGGTTTCACCCAGTGGGTGGGGTTGGACGATTGGCTTGTCAAGGTTTCCAGGTTAGGGAAGCTTTCGTCAGTGTTCTGGTGCGTGGAACTGGATTTCTTCTCTCTGGAGTGCAATGGAGTGCCCAGTAATGAGTTTTGAGATGGGTCTATGTGTTAGGTGTGACTTTGGGCAGCCTGTATGTTGACGCTCAGGGCTATGTTCCTGCGTTGCTGGAGAATTTGCATGGTATGTCTTGCTCTGAAACTTACTGCCTCTTGGGTGGTGGTTGGTTTCAGTGTAGGTATGGAGGCTTTTGGATGGTCTCTTACTACTTAAGAGACCTGTAGTCAGGAGTTTTCTGGTGTTCTCAGGTTTTGGGCTTAAGTCTCTTGCCTCTGGATTTCAGTTTTATTCTTCCAGTAGTCTCAAGACTTCTCCAACTATACAGCACTCCTTTCGAAGACAATGGGCTGCTTTTCTGGGCGTGTGATGTCCTCAGCTAGCGATCAGAAGTTGTTTTGTGAAGTTTGCTCTGCGTTCAATTGTTCTTTTGATGAATTTGTAGGGGAAAAAGTGGTCTCCCCGTCCTAGTCCTCCGCCATCTTGGCTCCTCCCCTGGATTTTTTTCACTAAAGATTTTTGTCATGTTTATTCATGTTATAACATGTATCAATACTGCATTGTTCTTTTCCCATTGTAATTAAAAATAGACAACATGCCATTTACCATGTAAATCATTGTAAGCATACAGTGTTGTGGTATGAACTCCCTTCATTTGTGCAGACCAGTTTAGTAACATGTGTGCCTTGTGTGTGCTTTGGAGAAATCCAGGAAATTGAGTCAGTGCTTGAAATGGCCCAGGATATCACCTTAGATACCGTTTCATCTAAAAACAAAACAGGGACTTCCCTGCTGGTCCAGTGGCTAAGACTCTGCCCTCCCAAAGAAGGGGGCCCAAGTTCAATCTGTGGTCAGGAAACTAGATCTCACATGCCACAACCAAGAGTTCGCATGCCACAGCTAAATATCTGGCTTGCCTTAAAGAAAATCAACCCGGTGCAGCCACATAAACAAAAAAATAAATATTAAAAAAATTAAAACAAGAAAGGAAGGGTGTGGTTGTTGTGCAGATTTATATCTTAGCCTTTCCTATCAATAGTTTCAAGACTGCCTTCCTTCTATCTGGTATTGAGACTTCCTTTGAAGTGGAGATTTCTCTTGTAAATGTGACTCACTGAAGAACCATCTTGACTTGGGTTTCAAAGATGATCATGTGTCCTCTTAAAAAAAGCTTAGTTCCAAATAATTGTCATGCTGAAGAGGTGTATTTTGGGGTAGCATTTGCTCTGCCTCACTTTGGATGTATCCGTTTCCTTACAGTCATCTATGGAAGACATCCTGATATTTGAAAGCTTGTAGCTATCACAAGTAGAGCTGCTCTGCATGATTGCATGATAGTTTTTGTTTGGATACTTTTTCAGAGTCCTTTTCTAAATACTAGACATGCAATGTTCAATCCTCAGGTGAACCTTGTCTAGCTTTGGGAAAAAACAGCTAAGTTGCTCCGTGGCGTGTGGGATCTTCCTGGCTAAGGGGTTGAGGGTGAGTCTCAGATTGTCAGGTGGATTCTTTACCACTGAGCCACCAAGGAAGCCCCTGGGTTTTTTTTTGTTTTTTTTTTAGTTTACTGGTTCTAATAGATGTGCAGTGTTACTTCACTGTAGTTTTAATTTGTAATTTCCTAATAAAATATGATTTTTTAGTATTTTTGATATGTTTGTTTACTATCTGTATGTTTTCTTTGGCCGGGTGTTCACATTTATACATCTTTAATGAGGCTGTTTGTTCCAGATTTTTTGGTATTGTTTGAGTACAAGCATTTATCAGATACGTATTTTGTAAATGTATTTCTCTGTTCGTGGCTTGTGTTTAGGTTTTCTGAATAAGGTCTTTTACAAGTTTAAATCTTTAATTTTTTAAAGGTCATGTTATAAATTTTATATCCTTTTTTGGATAGACTTTAGTTTTTTTGTTAAAATTCATAAGCAAAACAGGTACTGTAGATACAGCTTCACATTTTGTCTGTTGAGAAGTTTGAGTGAATTTGGTGTTAATTGTACAGTTTGTTTCTACTTTCATTCGATTGCATATGGTTTCCAGTTATTTATGTAACAGGTTTTGGAGATGTCATGGGAAGTCAGTTTCCCCAAGTGAAACTGTGTCCATGAAACATCAGCTCTTTTCAATCCCTGTTCTGTCTTTGAATTTGACTTGCTTTGAGTTGATTCCACTATCTCATACTAGCGGAATCACAGAATGTTTGTCCTGTTTTGGTCTGGTTTGTTTCACTTAACATAATGACTATAAGGTTCATCCACATTGTCAGAAGTACCTACTTTTAAAGGCTGAATCATATTCCACTGTGTGTATACCACAGTTTATGGAATTGTCTGTCCATGGACACTTGGATTCCTTCTGTTTGTTGGCCAGTGTGAATAATGCTGTTGTGAATATGAGTGTAGAAATATGTTTATTTTTTTCAGCATGTTTTCTCAAATCTTTTGGGTACATAACCTGAATTGGAATTGACATATTGTATGCTAATTCCATTTGTTAGTTTTTGAGGAATTTCTTTAATGTCTTGCATAGCGTCTGCACCATTTCACTGTATTTTTTCTATGGTAGAATATTGTTGAAGCTTTTGCTTGTACCCTATTTTGCATATTAATTTGTCCACTGATGGATAGTTGAATGGGTTCTACCTTTGGGCTGTTGTGAATAATGTTGCTATGAATGTTTGTGTACCAGTTGTTGTTTGAACATGTGATTTCAGTTCATTGATGTATATATCCAAGAGTGGAATTGATGAAGTAAAGAGTAAGTATATTTTTATCTTTCTGAGGAAATGCCAAACTATTATGCATATAGTCTGTACTATTTTCCATATCCACAAGCAAAGTGTAAGGTTTCCAGTTTTCTACACTGCTCTTAATATTTTGATCTTGATTGTAATCATTTAGTGAATGTGAACAAATATTAAATTGTGACTTTACCCTGTATTTCCATCGTTACAGAAAGGAAATATACCTAAGACAATTTTTAACTCAAAAATCAGCATCCTGCTTAGCAGCCATAGCTGTTGCATTACCAAAAACTACTAACAGTTACCCTATATATTAAAAAAGAATTAATCCCCCAAATCACTCATCAGAATTCCTCAGGATAACACAACCAATTTTACCATGTTAATAAATCCAAGGCCACTACAAATGTATGAAGATTTTGAAGAAACATAAAACTAACAACAGAATACAATGAATGTCATCGGTATTCTTACATGGAATGGAAACATGGCACTGAAAATGGAGGCTCCGTGTTCTTTATATATTTATTCATGTAGCAAGAAGCCTGCAGTGAGGATATTACACCTTTTTAGAATTATGAACATTAGAATTAGCTTACTGTTTCTTTAATAACCATAACATTTATACATTAATCTGTTACAATGAGGCTAAATGTCCTTTTGAGGAGAAACAGTTACGCAATCTTTGTTTTAGGCATTCCTCCCATTGGCACTAAGTCAAAAGAATCAGGAGGATTCTCATCTGCATTTGATTCTTTGCTGTCCGTCTTATCCTCCCATTTTTTAACTGAAGTTTTAGCAGCCGATTACCTACTAATCTGTCATGAAACAGGGTCTAGTAATCCAACAGGGATCCCATCCAGCTATAGCAAAATCCCATTTCATCCAAAAGATGAAGTTAAGCATCCCTTGGTTGCTTTGTTCTTATTAATAGTCTGGTTCCAAATCGGGAAAGGAGTACGTCAGGCTGTATATTGTCACCCTGCTTATTTAACTTACATGCAGAGTACATCATGCGAAATGCCAGGCTGGATGAAGCACAAGCTGGAATCAAGATTGCCGGGAGAAACATCAATAACCTCAGATATGCAGATGACCCCACCCTTATGGCGGAAAGTGAAGAAGAACCAAAGAACCTCAAGATGAAAATGAAAGAGGAGCGTGATAAGGTGGCTTAAAACTCAAGATTCAGAAAACCAAGACCATGGCATCCGGTCCCATCACTTTAGGGCAAATAGATGGGGAAACAGTGGAAGCAGTGGTAGACTTTATTGTTTGGGCTCCAAAATCACTGCAGATGGTGACTGCAGCCATGAAATTAAAAGACACTTGCTCCTTGGAAGAAAAACTATGACCAACCTAGACAGCATATTAGAAAGCAGAGACATTACTTTGTCAACAAAGGTCCATCTAGTCAAGGCTATGGTTTTTCCAGTAGTGATGTATGGATGTGAGAGTTGGACTATAAAGAAAGCTGAGCACTGAAGAATTGATGCTTTTGAACTGTGATGTTGGAGAAGACACTTGAGAGTGCCTTGGACTGCAAGGAGATCCAACCAGTCCATCCTAAAGGAACTCAATCCTGAATATTCATTGGAAGGACTGATGCTAAAGCTGAAACTCCAATACCTTGGCCACCTGATGCGAAGGACTGATTGATTTGAAAAGACCCTGATGCTGAAAAAGATTGAAGGCGGGAAGAGAAGGGGACGACAGAGGATGGGATGGTTGGATGGCATCACTGACTCAATGGACATAATTTGATTAAATTCTGGGAGTTGGTGATGGACAGGGAGGCCTGGTGTGTTGCAGTTCATGGGGTCGCAAAGAGTCGGACATGACTGACTGACTGAACTGAACGGAATAGTGATGTTGACAGTTTTTCTTGTGATTATTTGAAAGGGTGTGAGTTATACTTACTTTTGAAATTGGCTTCATTAATGCCTGCCTTGTTTTGAATTCTTTTCCAATGACCACCACTAAGGCATTCCTCCATGCCTTAGGAGGGCAGTTGTTTTTACTTTGTGAAATGAAAATATCTGCTGCCATATTAATAAACAAGAAATGTCACAGCCATCAGCGATTTCTGGCCTCCAAATGTCAATGAGGGCTCCCACATAAATCAAAGCAAGTCCTCTATGACCCACCTTCTAGAGTAACAGAAATAAAAACAAAAGTAAATAAGTGGGACCTGATTAAACTTAAAAGCTTTTGCACAGCAAAGGAAACTATAAGCAAGGTGAAAAGACAGCCCTTAGAATGGGAGAAAATAATAGCAAAGGACACAACTGACAAAGTATTAATTTCCAAAATATACAAGTATCTCATATAGCTCAGTACCAGAAAAACAAGCAACCCTAACAAAAAGTGGGAAAAAGACCTAAACAGACATTTCTCTAAGAAGACTTGCAGAAGGCTAACAAACAAGTGAAAAGCTGCTTAACATTGCTCATTATTAGAGAAACGCAAATCAAAACTACAATGTGATATCATCTCACACCAGTCAGAATGGCCATCATCAAAAAGTCTACAAACAATAAACACTGGAGAGGGTGTGGAGAAAAGGGAACACTCTTGCACTGTGGGTGGGAATGTAAATTGACACAGCCTCTGTGGAACATGGTATGGAGATTCCTTCAAAAGCTAGGAATAAAACCACCATATGACCCAACAATCCCACTCCTAGGCATATACCCTGAGGAAACCAAAATTGAAAAAGATACATGTATCCTGTTGTTCACTGCAGCACTATTTACAATAGCTAGAACATGAAAGCAACCTAGATGTACATCGACAGATGAATGGAAAAAGAAGTTGTGGTACATATCCACAATGGAATATTACTCTGCCATAAAAAGGAATGCATTTGAGTCAGTTCTAATGAGATGGATGAACCTAGAACCTGTTATACAGAGTGAAGTAAGTCAGAAAGAGAAAGATTAATATCGTATTCTAATGCAGATATAGGGAATCTAGAAAAATGGTACTGAAGAATTTATTTACGGGGCAGTAATGGAGAAACAGAAATAGAGAATAGACTTATGGACATGGGAAAAGGGGAGGAGAGGGTGAGATGTATGCCAAGAGTAACATGGAGACTTACATTACTATATGTAAAATAGATCGCCAATGGGAATTTGCTGTATGGCTCAGGAAACTGAAACAGGGGCTCTGTATCAACCTAGAGGGGTGGGGTGGGGAGGGAGATGGGAGGGAGGTTCAAAAGGGAGGGGAGATATGTATACCTATGGCTGATTCATGTTGCGGTTTGGCATACAATTCTGCAAAGCAATTATCCTTCAATTAAAAATAAATTTTAAAAAAATGGCTCCCACAACTGAGATCCAGCGGATGCTGCCACCCCACACGGTGATTTCTGAGGAGCTGGGAATGAAAGAAGCAAGGTGAAGAAAGAAACAGGATTGGCCCCAGATAGCTGAGGTGCGTAAGAAAGGAATGAATGCAGTGAGCCTAGAGATTTGCATCTTCCCATACATAGAATGCTAAATTCCTTAACTTGATATCTGATCTTTGCTGTTCAGACTGCCTGCTCCCTTTGTTGCAAACTTGCATATAGCCTGATTCCCCCTCCTGCCTCCTTGGAGCAGTTTTCTCAGAGCTACTGAGATGCTGTCTCCCAGGCTTGGAGTTGTAAATATTCCCACCAAGTAAAATAGCTTTCTACTTTCAGGTGTGACTATATTTTTCAGTTGGCAACTAACTTGCAGACTTTGAATCCTTGTGAATGTGCCCAGCGGCACAGCTCTTCATGGTGTTGTTACAGAAAATGGCCACAAGGCGGCAGCACATCTTTATGCCGCCCTTTTTTTTTTTTTAAACTGTAATTTCCTTGTTATTTTCTGTTGGAATTTAATTGATTTAATGTTGTGCTTGTTTCAGATGTACAGAAACTTGATTCAGTTATATTAATACATAGACATTTATCTATTCTCTTTTAGTTTCATTTTCACTTATAGATGATCACAGTGTGTTCAATAAACTTCTCCATGCTATTCAGTAAGCACTTTTTAATCATCTATTTGTTACATATTAATGTGTATATGTTAATTACAATCCCTTAAATTATCCCACGTGTATCTAGAGGGCAACAGGCACTCCAGGTTCATTGTGGGAGCACACTGCCTGCTACATGCTCCCAGCTCCCTCAGCCCCAGGACACTCCAGCCTTGGGACCCAAGCTAATCAGGCTCCAGGGATGACACCAGCCCGGGTCACTATGTCCTCAGGGAAATAGAGTCAGCATTTCTTTCTTGCTTTTGCTGTTTTTATCTCATCATTTGAACTGGACTATATAGGTGAATTAGTCTTGTGGGTGGTTTTTTTCCTTCTATCACAACTAGTTTCACTTCTGTTAATACATATTGAGTTTTTTCCATATAGGTTATTATAGAGTGTGGAGTAAGTGTCCTTGTGTTATACAGTGGGTCCTGGTCATTTATTTTATAAGTAATAGTGTGCATATATTAGTCTGAAGCAACTCATTTCTCCATGCCCCACATCTTTATAGCTTGGTGATTAGAAGTTGCTTTTCTAAGTCTGTGAGGCTGTGTCTCTGGGCAAGAAGTTCCATGTTATCCATCTTTAGATTACACCTAGAGGTGATATCATGTTGCTGATACTTGTCTCTTTCTGTGTCCCTTACTTCGCACGGAATGATCATCTCTACTTTCTTTCCTGTGGCCAGCCTTGACATTATTTCCTACTTTCTTTGTGGTTGAGAAATACTGCATTCCGTACATGTACCACATAGTCTTTATCAATTTAACTGTGCTTCTACAATTAGCTTCATTGCCTGTCTTGGCTATTATACCTTATGGGGTCAAAATCACAGGGTTACCCATCTTTTCTTGAATAGTTTGGCTGTATTCTCAACCCCACCCCAGTTCAAATATGAGACACAAGCTGGCTCAGGCTCCAGGGATGGGATAGCAGCCCAAATCAAGGAGGTTGCAGGGAATAAATTAGGCATTGATTTTTTTTCTTTTTGTTTTCCTAAATCTCATGCTGAAGCTATGTCAGAGTACAGTCAATTTGCAGTTTTGTGCTTGCTGTTAGTGTACAACTGCCTGATTCAGTTATGACATATATATACAGCGTATCTGTTCCTTTTTCAATTCTTTTGCCATAGAGATTATTGCAGAAGCTCAAGCAAAGTTCCACTTGCTGAACATCAGGTTCTTCTTGAGCATTTATGACAGCCAGTTTTCTGTGTGTATATACGGAAGGAAGGAAAGAGATAATCCTTTTGGATTATCTATTACAGCTACAGATTTCTGTGTATATGTAAGTCCCTACCTTTGAATTCATCCCTGCCTCCCCCTTTTTTTTAATGGGAACCCTCTGTGTTTAAATTCTCAGAGTCTCTTTTTGGGTTATAACTTAGTTCCTTTGTGTCTCTTTTTAAATTTTTCCTACAAGGGACATCCAAGGCTTTTGTCTTCCTTCCAGAAATCAGTCTGGCTGATTTCACTTAGTGTATGATCCTTGAAGGTCCATCCTCCTAGCGAACAGTGGCATAATTTCATAGTTTCAGTGGTGCTTTTTCATGGCTGAGTAATGGTCCGTTGTCTATATGTAACACATCTTCTTTAACCTTTAATCTGTCAGTGGACATTTCACAGGTTCTGTTTTGGCTGTTGCAAGTAGAGCTGCAGTGAATGTTGGGCTGCATGTGATTTTATTCAATGATGCCTTTCTCAGGATATTGGCCCAGGTGTGGGGATGTCTGATCCTAGTGAAGGAGGAAACAGGCAGAACGGGCTCCATCTTGAAAGCAGGACTCCATCTTGGGCCGGACTATGGACTTGGAGCTGTATGCCCAGTACCTGCGGAAACGACACACCACCTGGAAAACCAGACCCCCCAGATGGAAGAGCTCCAGGGCTCGCGCCTAGACTCTCTGTCACCTAAAAGAATACCCTAGTTATCTGTGTAACTGGATAGAATCAGAAATCCTATTATGCTTATTGGGGTATGACCACAGGCCTACTGGTAATTGTCCACTGTTATAGGCTTAAGGCATATGAATCACGGGTTAACTTTGATTGTATCTTTCTTTTCCTTTGTTCAGACTATTTTCAGAGAATTTGGGGAGGTGGATTTGAGCACATATACTTAGGATATAT